AAATGAAGCACTACGGATTCGGTGAGTGACGTAGAAAATGAATCACTACGGATTCGGTGGGTGACGTAGAAAATGAAGCCATGCGAATTCGGTAGGTGGCGTAGAAGACGAAGCACTACGGATTCTGTAGTCGCCGTAGAAATTGAAGCACTACGGATTCGGTAGGTGACGTACAAAATGAAGCACTACGGATTTGGTAGATGACGTAGAACATGAGGCACTACGGATTCCGTAAGTGACGTAGAAAATGAAGCACTGCGGATTCGGTAGGCGCCGTAGAAAGTAAAGCACTACAGATTCGGTAGGTGCCGTAGAAAATGAAGCACTACGGATTCGGTACGTGACGTAGAAAATGAAGCACTACGGATTTCGCAGGTGACATAGAAAATGAAGCACTAAGGAATTGTTACCTTAGACGTAGTGAGTCGGATTTGTTACCTAAGACGCATAAAATAGGTACCGTATTGATTACTGTAAAGGGCTTATTTGTAGAGATACATAGCGTGTTGGACAATTCGGTTTTTATTTAGATTTCCGGAATTATTATGTTAGTAGTGCTAATAAACGGAGAGCCTCAATTAGAAACAAGATGGGCATCATCAAAAATCACTAAATCGATATTTTTTTAGAAAGAATGGAAGCGCATGTTACTTTTTTGTAGGTTCCAAATGATGCGCCCAGCTTTGGCGTGCACGCGAAATTTTTTTTTAAACTTTGTTTACCATTCGCATTTCTCCCCCGCCAGTTCTGCGTCTGTAGCAAAACGGCAAGTTGCGCACTACAGCTTGCCACGCGCTTCAAGTCTACCTGTTGTTTTATTTTTTATACCTTTTTAATGACATTCTTTAATTTTTTTAGTTGAATCCTTTAGTATTTTCACTAGCTAAAACTAATTATGCAAAAGCAATTCGGTAACTAGTTATTTAAATCACAATATACATCATTAAATTATTCACATCAGCAGTAACTAATACATCATGTTTTTCTTCGCGTTAGTTTTGCAGGAACACGTATGAGCTACACCACGCTACATGGGAGTGTTGCGCCGAAACCAACTTCCGAAACCGCCTCGGTTTTTTGCGATTAAGACTTTTCTTTTAAGGGGCGCATGAAATAAAACACTGTTTTTTTTTCTGTAGATAGCGTTATCGACCGCTGTGTGAATTGCCTAAGAGCCCAAATTTTATTGTATAATTAGCGAACTATGATCAAAAACGTTGACTAATTCTCTATTTTTTTTTAAATATGTGCCTCGACCGGCTCATTAGAAAATAAAAACATTGAGCTGATCGTTGGAAAATGAAAATTTATATGCTTTGCGAAATTTAATGTCGCATTTAAGAAACACAACATACTAAAAAAAAGTTTGGTATGTAGAGAGACATTAGACTGTGACGCTCCCTTGCTTAGAGTTAAACAGCCCTCCAGAAGCACAGTGCCACTGGCAAATCGGCTGGCAATTATAAAAAAAAAAAAAAACAGTTTTTTTTTAGTTCTTGACAAATCAAATCTATTTTTATGGCGAATCACACATCTGTAAATGAAATGTGCCAGCTAAAATATTCAAAATTGAATATTTTACTAGTAACTAATTATATCGATAATTATCGCCTCACACTCCAGCAATATGTCCGCTGCGGCCAGTTCAGTATACCGTATACGGTATCTCGAAGGAATAACTTATCTATGTCAAGGGCTCTTTTTATTTTTTTTTTTTTTTTCAACCAGTTTACGTTTCGGTAAAAATGAAAATCACCCTGGCGTTTCTTCTAGTCTGACAACCATATATGTCCAATAAACATATCAAAACATATAGGATCATACACAATTTATATAAGCTGTGATATGTTTATTGAACAAATCCTGTAAGATTTTTTCCCCTCTTTTTTCGATATGGCAGAGGCATTTTTTTCAAACCAAACAGAAACCAATCGTCATAAAAATACTCTAATTTTGAGTCCGTCGATGCCGCTCGGAAAAATTCTCCAGAGCCACTCATTATAAAAACCGGTCAATATATTATATTTTTCCTTCGCTCAAAACGTGTAACGTTCGGTACGAAGTAAACGCCTATTCACAAAAGTTAACCCCATATTTTCCTTTTTCTTTTTTTCTTTTTCGCACTCTTCATGGGGCAGTTATAGCTATACACCACACCTTTTTGCCAGCATTTCTATGACCAACCGCCAGGATCGCGACATCCGACAACATGACACTCCGTCTTCTGTAACGTCATTTGTTGCCACTTGGGGACCACTTTTGATGTATGAGCGGGATAGGACGCGAAACACACCAGTCGGAGAGGCATTCCAAACAGCGTAATATTACACTGCAGCCAATGAAATAAGCTACGTTTCAGAGTACGAAACTGGAAACCATCTTGGTGCTGGAAACCATTGTTGTCAGTTATCTGAACGAAGTCTTTAACTAAAATCCGAGAGAACGTACTTTTCCGTCCTACAGAAATTGGAAAACAGCACACGACAGAGCAAAACGACGATATATTGCCTTAGCTTCCTGACACTACTAGGCATCTGAATGCGAAGAATTTGCGTTTTCGAATCGTAACTATCCGCCGATTGCACCCGCTGTGCACTGGGCACCAAAATGCCCCCCCCCCCCCCCCCCCCCCCCCCTTTAGGCACTCGAGGAATGGAGTGCTGATACTCAACCTGTGCTAGTGGCACCGATGATGGTTGAAAGAGGAATTTTCTTCCCGTCTTTCTTGAACCCGAGGGAATACCCCATGGCTTTGATGGAGCCTGACTCCTGCGAGGGGCTATGATCCGGAGCCCGTGTCAGCATTACTTGGCGAATGTTAAGGCCCCAGTAAGCGAATAAGAGCGTCGGAGTGAGCAGGCGACGCACTCTGTTGTCTGCTAGCTGCGTCTATCGGGAGGTGGCGCCACAAGTCACATTTATTGTTAATTTGGTCGTCTGCGAATACGTGCGCCACTCACTTTGACAAATATTTTGGTCTCATTGTTTACAAAACTACGCCTTGAAATTTCGCGGTGCAAAATCCACCACATCAATGCACATTCGGTAAAATTTTGAGTTTTTTATGAGAAGGTGCAAATTTTCCACCCCCCCCCCCCCACTGCGGCCACCCTCTATACACTTTTAATGCTTCAGTTAGTTTATTACTGTAAAACAAAACAACAACATACTCAATAAATATCACACTTTTCCTCCGCCAAGTGGCCTCAGATCGTTTTGAATGTTTGGACACGCGCTCGAAAGTCGAACAAATTTAGTCGATCTTTTGCCGGCAGAATCCCCTGGCCGCTCTAATCTAGACACTTGGTGAAAAACGTCGGCAAGGGATTTGACCGCCGTGATTGGCCGGGGCCAAGGTTAAGTGCGGCACCGGCCAATCACGGTCGCCGGATTCCTCGCCGACTTTTCCGCCAAGTGTCCAGATGAGAGCCCCTGGTCGAACTCAAATCTCGGCAGGATCGCGACAGTCTAGATACAACACCGGTAAGTTGGCACCGAACCAGTCGGACGGCCGTCGAAAGGAACAGCGGGACGGAACGACGACGGTCCCATCCCGAGCACCGGGCGTCGCTCTTGCGAGTGACGCGACGGCGTGCGACCTCGGTAAACGTCGCCGCGGCGGCGGCGAGCCCACGGTCAACACGTTCTCTCTCGGAAACGTGCGCGCGCGCGCGCGGGCGGATGACTGGCTCGGTGAGCTGCGTATTCGTCTTTAAAGGGAAGCTACGGAGCTTCTTGAAAAAAATGAGTTAGAAGGGAATTCTAGTGTATTTTTACCTCGTGAACCCGAATACCAAAACCATTTGCCGCGCAAGTGTTTTTAAACGCGAGAAAAACGCGAAAGACAGTCGCTGTCCGTGACGTCATCGACGGATCTTTTGGCTTGCCAAGGCTAGGGAGGCGGGGCTTCAGGCCTTTTTTCAAATTGCTCTTATTGCTCTCCGGCGCGTCGCATTGAAATATAATTATGATATCTGTTATTCTAAAGGCCAAATGAATGCAATTCAAGCGTTTTTTCTCAAATGTAGAAGTGCCCCATCTTCCCTTTAAAAACTTCAAAAATTTTTCCTGCTCGTCAGACTCATTTTGCGACCGGAAAGTGAAAAACATACGTTCCGTCTAAAACACGGCGCTCTGAAAGGCCGCTTCTCCACACCGCTATAAAGCGGTAAATTTTGCTTTTGCACCAACAGGCGGCTCAGACGCGACACCGCTGCGGTGACGCTGCTCTCGGTGCATGCGCAGTGGCTTCCCTCGACACGAATCTAGCCTCCGCGTACACCAAATGCCCACACTTGGTGTGGGGAAACGGGAGCTTGCTTGTAAACAACCTGTTTGTTTATACGGCTGTTTCCTACCAGCTTCCTGTAGCGCATAGTCAAGCGCTTTCCGCTATAACGCACAAAACACGAAAACGCTTCAGTACGTAAGAAAGCGTGGAAGCGTAAACCCCTCCGATCGTACATCCGCCTAAACAACTGCAATAACGGCGTTTTCTTTTACTGTTTTCCTTTGTTTCCCCCGATAGTAGCGTCCACTGAAAAAGCGAGCTTGGACTGTCGTCACAAAGCACCAAACCACTCTGCCACCAATATGATGGGAGAGTGTGCACAAGTCGAGGTGGAAGAGAACACGCATCCGTTTCGAAGAAAACGGGGAGACGAGAAATAGCAGAATCCAAGCTGGGCTGTGCGACCTCAGAAGTCGGGAACTTCGCTCTCCACTCCTGCTCGAGCGCTTTAGCTTTGGTAGGGCTTTCTTTCGGAGACAGCGAAGATCGAAGACCGCGAATCAACAAACAATATTTCTGTGTTTCCAGTGCATTCGCCACGATAGTGCGGGAAAGGGTGCGACTCGAGCATGTGACACTTCTCCGTCAACGAGAAGCTGACGGGGAAAGGAAAAAGAGCGCGATACTCTGAGTGGGGGAGGATGCGTCTGCCTACGTCTGGGGGGCTTCATATATATAAAGCCGGCGGCGCAGCCGGGAACGAGGAGCTATGGATAGCCTCATGTCGTGGCAGCAGCAACAAGCCGGCGGAGACAACGCGACGCGGTCCCCGGCGGAGGAGGAGGGTCTATGGGGCCTCCGCGGCGACCCCCGTCTCAAGGACTGGCCATTCACGGGCGGCCCCACTGGCGTCGCCTGCCTTCTGGCGCTCTACCTCGTCGGGTGCGTCGCGCTGGGCCCCAGGCTCATGCGCAACCGCAAGCCCCTGTCCCTCCGCCCGCTGCTGCTGGCCTACAACGTGTTCATGGTGGGGGCCAGCGTTCACTTCGCGTACATCACGGTCAAGGAGGCGTACGTGGAGAGCGGCTACAGCCTGTGGTGCCAGGCGGACGACTCGCTCACGAGCCCCAGGGCCATGATCATGTTACGGCACGGCTGGTGGTACCTTCTGCTCAAGATGACCGAGCTCCTGGACACGTTCTTCTTCGTGCTCCGCAAAAAGAACCAGCACATCAGCTTCTTGCACGTGCTGCATCACACTCTGGCGCTTGTCACTGTCTGGCTGGACCTCTACATGGGCGTCTTGGGACACGTGGCTCTTTTCCCGCTGCTCAACTCCAGCGTCCACATCGTCATGTACACCTATTACGGACTTGCCGCTTTGTCGCCGAACCTGAGGCCCAACCTTTGGTGGAAGAAGTACGTCACCCAGTTCCAGATCGCCCAGTTCATGGTGCTCACCGTCCACGCAATCGTGCCGATCTTGCACGAGTGCGGATTTCCTCAGGGATTCGCCTGCTTCATGGCGGCCGAGGCGGCCCTCTTCAGCGCGCTCTTCAGCCAGTTTTACGTGAGGACATACATGAAACGCGGGGACAAGAGTCTCAAGGATCGCTAGTAGGACTTGCGAAAGCGTGTTCCAGCCACTTGGACATTCTGTGTTGGAATGGTTTCGCCACGTGCGGCTCTTGCTTCAGTGACGGCTGTAGACGCAACTTCGATTCTCAGCTGTTATAGGGGGCACTGTGATTTTTTACCCATTCTCATGGCTATCGTTTTGCTGCCGTTGTTATCTTTGTGTTGTTCTTGGAACCTTTGACAATTAAAACCTAGTGAACAGTGATTTTTTTTTGTGGGGGGGGGGGGGGGGGGGGGGGGGAATGTGATCCTTTTGTCGCGGAAATTTTGCGATTGTGCAGTACAGGCCATGACTAAACATCCAGATGGGACCAGAAATCTTGGACCTTGTGTGCTGAATTGAGTCTAGTAGCATGCTTATCTTGGCGGTTGGTTCGTAAGCGCCTTAAAACTGCGCGTGGCAGTCGCTTGCGACTCTGTAAGGGTTCGGCAACCAAACGAAGAGGTGGCCTCAAGCTGATGGCTTACAGTGCGATCTCATTTTTTCTAAAGATTTTTGAAGCACATCTGCTCAAGCGAGGGGATTCATCACAGCCTCGATCCTCAATCAGAGCTATACTTTATGCTGACTGTTGTCCTCTTAAAAAAGCGTTAGACCATGGTCAGACTTGCAAAAGACTGACGGTGCAGTACTGTCAGCTCTGTACCGCATGGTCCTTGAATTCCATCATGATTGCCACTTCCATACTTCAACAACGATGACCAAAGTACTTCTCTTTCACTGAATTCTGAACGCACATTAAAACGAAGTTTAAATTACCATTTCTCAGTCGTCTTCTTTTACGCTGTACACGTGATTATCTGATACAGAGGACACAGCTTTGCCTCTAATATGCAGCCAATTTTCGACCTTACAGTACAGCTATAGCTGTCATGCGTCGCCATGAATTCTAAGGGCAAAGAATCACTTCACGAATATTCGATGAATCTATACACAGAGACATGCAAAAACCGGCTCATTGGTGACTGGTCGCCCTGCTGTATGCAGCGATGAGTATGCCCCTTGCCGGGCATGGTAACGCTGAAATACCAAAAAAAGAGGAGTTGACTAATAATTTCCAAGTGGATCAATAGGATCAAAGTCTATCGTGTTTTTTTACAAATAAATCAATAAATTGCAGGAATCGAGTTCGCTTTGCACTTGAACTGTCTCGTCCTCTAGATCCTAGCTTCACTCGTAGTCACGTCAGTTGAATTCCACACCTCAGCGTAAAAGGATTGTGATAACCGTAATTATTATGATTATTCATGCACCAAGCTTCAGAATAAGGCGCCCTATGACCTTGGCAGAGTTTGCGCTTTAATATAAAAAATAAAAGAACAAAAAAATTGTGAAGTTAGTGAACATTATCTGCCTTAGTCATGCCTACTCGTATGGGATCGGGATGGAAGCTAATGGAACGTACGCTACACAACACCCCTAGCGATAGCAGCCTGTCTGCCGATAAGTAGGATACGAGAAGTTATGGACAGTTTTAGTATATCGATATTACATTTACATAACAATACCCGATATCCCGCCGCCGCTTTTGCGCCTGCATCATATATCGTTATCGGGAATCTCTATTGTAGGAACGACCAAACAATTTACTTTAACTGCCCAATGAAAAGAAGAAAAAAAACAAAGAAAAAACATAGCCCGCGTAATCTTTTAACAGGTCAATGAACGAAGAAAAAAAAATGCTTCGAATGCAGGTGGACTGGTGTATGTGTAACATGATGGGGGACCCTGAGCATTAGTTGGAAAAAAAGGTTACAGCAGTAAAACAATAACAAAGTGGGATAACAACAAAGTGGGAAAAAAATTACAGCAGTAAAACAATAACAAAGTGGGATAGACTCTTTTCTATCCCAGTTTCAGAATTTACCATCAAGTTCAATGACACTCTCTTATTTTGAGCGCAAATCATTCCGATCAGGACAGGTTCTAAGTAGTGTGAGTTCAATTCACCGACGGGCTTTGCTCTCACCAACCGAAAGGGGCGCGCGGTTTGATGTGCATTGACTATTAAACCAATCTATCTCTATCCTACTTCGAGACTATATATAACCAGCCCGGCGTATTTTTTTGTTTAATTTTATGCTGAACCTCGACGCACACCTTGTCATTATAAAGTTGTGTCTGTGTGCGTCAAAACTGTATTACCCGAAACACGCCCCAATCTGGCGCTAAGGAGAGGGTCTGATGCTGTTCATCAATCGGGGTTCTTCAGCGTCAACTGAACGTGAGCGCCCAGGGCCCGCTGGAAGGTGAGAATGAGGAGCACCGGGGGAGTGAGCCACTCCACCAGTGTCCGGGGTGCTGATAACGAGGGAGGGAGCATGGAAACAGGAGAGGAGGAACTACTAATCCTCCTTCAGTGTAAAATTAATTAAGATATCTTTTTTTTTAAGCGTTTGTCATAGAGGAGCTCTACTCCTGCTCGCATACCTGTGATATTAATTTATGCTGTATCTTCTCTGCTCCGATATCACGGCAGCGCTTTATCGTCTGCTCGGACGCGTGCGCTCAGAGCTTCCATTGTGAATGCGTCAATGTTCTTGACGCGGACTTTGACCTGCTGGTAACGAAAGGTGTCAGCGCCTTCAAGTGAGATTCATGCACTAAACGTCGGAGCGAAGAAACATCGATCGTAAGATCCGCGTCGTCGGCTACGTCGGCTCAGGATAGCGATGGACAGCCAAAAGAATCGCCGTCGTAAAGCTGTAGTTTTCACGAGCTTGTACAAGAGCTCTGCTGCAAGATCGATGGTCTGTCCGAGAAGGTGCGGTCCTTACGAGCTGAGAACGAATCTCTGCGACCGCATCTTGCGCGGAACAGCGAACTGCTTCGGAGATGCCTCGCTGCTGAAGAACCTGGCCAGGCCCAAGCACGGCAGAGTGAACCTGAACCATCGTACTCTAAAGCGCTGTAACCGAATGCATCTTTCTGTTCGACGACTACAGGTTGGCCCACTGTCTCCGAGGCCTCCGAGCGTCTCCTGGGGAGTGAACTCCCCCAGCGTGTGTTACCCACGAGAGTGGCGAGACATCCTCCGAATGACGAGCGGCGTCGGAGCCAACCCGACGTTCCCCGCGGTTCAAGTGGTGTCGAGGTGGGCATGTCAGCGTTAATGGACCAGCAAAGATACACGGGTGCCGACAGCTCCAAGAGGGTGGACCCCCCAGCTGCAGACAAAAACGGCTTCCAACAAGTCATGCCACGCCGACGAGTCAAGGTCTCCGTCAGTTCGGCAGAAGCCAGTAAGTTGCGTGTGGTGGCCAAGCCTCCTAGGAAGAGGGCTCTTTTTGTTTCTCGATTACATCCACAGACCACCAGCGACGAACTATCAGAAATTATGTCTAGTGCTCTAGGATGACAGAGCTTCTCTTGTACTAAACTGACAGCTAGGTATAAGTATCCTTCGTTTCACGTGTTAGTTAACGAGGAGGACTTCGAAAAACTGGGTTGTCCCGACTTCTGGCCGAAGGGTTGCCTTCTCCGGCCATTTTTAGGCCAACTGAGGGTTGACAACGAGCGTAATGCTTTGCAGCCCAAGCTAAAACTAGAGGAAGATTTTATCGCCCCTTTAAATTCTTAAACCTAAATGCTCGAAGTGCTGCCAATAAAGCAGTAGAGCTTGAAGGTGTTCTATTGGCATTCAACCCTGATTTGGCAGTTATAACGGAAACTTGGCTGCACAGTCAAATACCTGATGACGTTTTCCCTCATGGTTTCAAAGTATTCTGACGGGATCGTGTGTCAAGAGGGGGAGGGCCGCTCTTTTGTTCAAGGACACCATTCCATGCACGTCTGTTGAGCACGACCAGGACTGTGAAATGTTGTGGGTTTCTATACGTTTTGGTTGCCAATCAATGCTTGTAGGAGCAGTATGCAGATGTCCTCAGGCCAGTATTGATGTCCTACAAAGTTTATTCGAGTTTCTTCAAACTAAAACCGTACAATTTTCACGTATAGTATTGGCCGGTGATTTTAATTTGTCAGATATAGATTGGAATTGCGTGATGCTCAATGGGATATGCAATCAGCCTAGGCTTCTTGTTGATATTGCTTTTAGTAATAATTTATGCCAAGTGGTCTAGTTTCCCACACGTCAAATGTCAAATGGTTGGGAATCCTTGCTTGCTGTTCTCGTGTTTTTATCAAGGCTGTTACCAGAAGTATTCATGACGTAACAATCGCGGATGGCGTATCTGACCATGCAATAGTTGTATGTGATCTATCTGCACCGTAGCATGCGCATAATGAAATCGAAGCAAAATCTTATCGTGATTACAACGGGGCGAATTATATCGATATTTTGACTTATTGGATGTAGCTTTAGACAGATTTCATGTGTATTACGATGCAAACCCGGAGTCAGTAGATAAGCTTAGCTCTTTTTTATGCAAGTTATCCTTACATGTGTTGAAAAGGTTATTCAAGAGCGAACCGTCGACCGGCAAAAAGAGAGAGGCACAATCCATAGGTGACGCGCGATATTTTACCATTAAAGCGAAAAATAAACCGAGTAGAAAGGTTTCAACCAAGTTTAAAATGTACGCTTTCTCCTCTTTGCCAAGAACTACGCACCCTTGTGCTTACATCTAAATATCGTTACTTTAATGTCACAATTCACAACTTTCTCAAAAACAATTCCAAGAAAGCTTCGGTCAGTTTTGACAAAAAAAAGTGTAATGATTAAGGAGCTTATTCATTGCGGGCAGACATTTTCCGGTGAAGCGAGCATCGCAAGGGAACTTAATTATTTTTTTCTCTTCTGCCTTCACTGTTGATAACTCTATGTTGCCTTCATTTAATCATGGCAGTTGTGTAATCAGTAACTTAGTGGTCTCCACACAAGATATCTTTAACAGTTTTTTGCAATTAGACACTAGAAAGTCGAGTGGCCCAGATGAAATTCCAAGGCTTTCTTACGAAGGTACGCTAAATGGTGTTTCCAGTTTCTTTATGTGGTTTACTCTCGCAGTTTAAAAACT